TATCTATCTCTGTCTCTCCCTGGCCCCTTTTCTTGGGCCAGTTCCATACTGTTTTGGTTACTATAGGTCTGTAGCGTATTTTGAAATTAGGTAGTGTGATGCTTCCAGCTTTTGTCTTTTCATGCAAGATTCTTTTGTCTGAGGTATTTTGCATGTCTATGTAAATTTTAGGATTTTTTTTTTCTATTTCTATGAAGAATGTATTTTGTAATTTAATGGGATTGTGCTCATTCTGTAGATCCCACTGGGTGATATAGATATTTTAACAATATTCTAGTGCTTGGACATGGGATATCCTTCCATTTAAATGTGTCTGCTTTAATAGCTTTTATCTATCTTTAATAGTTTTCATTGTGGGATCTTTCACCTTTTTTATTAAGTTCATCTCTAGGTATCGTTTTTTGGTGGAGGTAGTAGCTACTGTAATGAAGTGGCTTTCTTGATTTCTTTCTTAGGTGTTTCACTATTGGCACATGGGTGTGCTACTCATTTTTGTATATTGATATTGTGTCTTTCAATTTTAGCAAACTTATTTATTTCAAGTGGGTTTTTTTTTTTCTGGTAGAATCTTTAGAGTTTTCTCTCTATATATATGTGATCATTTCACCTGCAAACAGAGACAATTTGAAATTTGGTTGCCTTTTATTGCATTCTCCTGTCTAATTGCTCTCCCAGTACTATGATGAATAAAAGTGGTAAAAGTAGCCAAACTTCTTCCAGATCTTAGAGGAAGAGCTTTTTAACTTTTCCCCATTATTTATGATGTTAGCTGTGTTTTTTGTCATACGTGGCCCTAACAATGGAGATGGTTCTAGTTATGGATTTGGCATAGAGGCTGATTGCTGTGTTAACAGAAATTCCTATCCCTAGTGTGTTGGGTGTTTTTATAATGAAATGGTGTTGGCTTTGTGGAAAGTATTTCCTGCATCTACGGAGATGGGTACCTGGGCTACTTGGTTCTGCTTATTTGATGTTTGTTTGCAGGGATGGCTTTACTGTGCAAAACCAGCTTGATTTTCTGACAAAAGGATGTAGTGATCATGGTCTGTAATCCTTCAAATATGTCTTAGTATCAAATTATGATTATTTTGTTGAGCATTATTAATTGTATAATTATGCTAGACATTGATCTATGCCTTTCTGTTCTTGTGATTTCATTTCCTAGTGTAATTTAGTATTCAATTGGGGATGAGATTGCCCATAGGTTGGTTTTGTATTTAGAGTATTAAAGGTTAGAAGTTTGAAGGATAAAATTGAGCAGAAATGGGACATACCTGAGGGATTGTGGGAAGAGTGTCATGCGGTCAGGATTAGTGAGGGTCGAGAGTTAGCAAGAGAGTGCCTGTAGCTTTCACCAACAGTAAACTTTATCGGTCTTTTTCATCTTGGAAGCCAGGCAGGCAAAGATACTTCAGTGTTTTAATTGGCACTTCCTTGAGTTCCTTGTTGAGGCTCAAACTCAGCAGGAGTACCTGGGAAGAAATTAGGACACAGAAGTGAGAAGGCTGGAGTGCAACATTGCTCCAGTGCATCAGCCAGCGGCTGAGCTGCAGAGGTTCCCAACTTATTTCAAATTTTGATAAAAAATAACATGTTTTATACTGTTATCGCACAAAGAAACTGGACTTTTTCAAATTGATATGGCTAATTTTATATATTTTTAGGTTAGAGACTATAATCTTCTAGCTTTCCCTAATATTTCCCTCATATTTTGACAGCTGCCCTGAGTAAATCCCAACGCATGGTGAAAACCACATTTGGAATATTTTAGCTGCTGGCTGTGTGGAAAATCACCTGCATCTCCAACTTTCAACTATAAAAAGGCAAGTATTTATACTGAAGAGCACAGAATTTTGTGGCTATGATAAAAGATAATATGTGAAACTCCTAGCAAAATTTGACACATGAAAATGCTCATACATAGATTCCAGACAAATATATATACATGTTAATGGAAGTGCCAGTCACACTTTGGATCTTGTAATCAGGAGGCCCTCATCACACACTGTGAACATGAGAACCTAGTTCCAATTCAGCTACTGCCGACAAAGCTTGGGTCAGGTGCTTGGTCACAGCCCTGCTAGCCTCATAGTCTTTGTTTTTTATTTTTATTTTTATTTTTATTTTTGAGACAGAATCTCACTCTGTTGCCCAGGCTGGAGCGCAGTGGTGTGATCTTGGCTTACCGCAACTTCTGCCTCCTGGGTGTTGAAAATTTGTGCTTTGAATGAAGAGGCCCCCCCAGACAGGCTTTGTGTGAGCAACATGGCTGTTTATTTACCTGGGTGCAGGTCAGCTAAGGCCGAAAAGGGCATTAACAAAGGGCAGTGGGATAGGAGTTGGTTCTATAGGTTTGGGGTGGGCAGTGGAAAGCTACAGAGAGTACGATCAGTTACAGTGGTGGGGTAGGGGCAAGGAGTATACATTACCATGAGTTTAGTTACAGTGGCGGCTGGGGGTGAGGCAGAAGAGCATTAGGATGACAGGATGAGTGAGAGGTATTCACATTATCTTAAGAGCAGTTAAGATGGCAGGGTTGGGTGAGGGGCTTCTCCAGGGAAGCTCCACTGGGTGATCAGGCACAATGGCAAAAGCAGGTAGAGGATGGGAGATGATCAGGAGGTAAGCAGGACTTCAGATTTTCAGGCTCCAGGTTTGCATATGGAGACCTGATACTGGGTTCAAGCAACTCCCTGCCTCAGCCTCCTGAATAGCTGGGATTATAGGTGCCCACCACCACGCCTGGCTAATTTTTGTGTTTTTAGTAGAGACAGGGTTTTACCATCTTGGCCAGGCTGGTCTTGAACTCCTGACCTCATGATCCACCTGCCTTGGTCTCCCAGAGTGCTGGGATTATAGGTGTGAGCCACTGTGCCCAACTGCCTTATAGTCTTTGTCTGAAATACAGGGGCAGAGGTATTCTTCCCAGGGTGGTCCAGGATTCAGTGGGATGAGTTATGCAGTTCTCTCAGCAGAGTGACTTGGACAAGGGAGAGGCTCCATAGCTGTCTTCTTTCCACAGTTGCTCAGAGCGATTATGAGTGAGACTGGAAAGTAGCCCATGGGGGAGAGTGGCCATGTGCAGGGAGGAGGTGGCCTGGTGAGGAAGGAAACCCAAGCATCTAAGATCACCTCCCCCTTGACTTCCACACTGCATTTCAATAGAAGTAAAGGCTGGCCGACCGTGCACCACCTTAATCGCCCTCCTATAGATCGCAGGCATGGTGTGGGGGAATCTTTCCGGAAGGCATTGTTGTAGCTTAAACAAGTTCAAACCCCCACCCCATGCCTACTCCATGGACCAGACCCTTTCACATGTAATTTCTAAAACTGTAAACTCAAGACCCTTTCACGTGTAACATCTCAAGTTGTAAGCCTATATAAAGGCGGGGCTTCTGTTTGTTAGAGGAGCTTGGCTATTAGGCAGTTATGCCACCTTACTCCAGCGCGCCCTCTGCTGGTGGCCGGGGACACTGCAAGGCCCTCGCTCTCACAGACTGGCGGAGGACACGCGCCCTCTGGTGGCCGTCCCACTGCACCACTTAATGTCCGAGCACAGAGTGTTCAGCGCCATGGTTCTGGAAATGCAAACTGACACGGAACCTACTAGCCCAGGTTTTTCTAAACAGGAAGAAGGGACAATTAATTGGAAACCATAGGAATGAAATAAACATGGATGTACATTTTACAACTTATGGAAAAATTCACTCAACATAGTCTTCACACTTAAAATGCAAAACTGGCATAGGCATCTTAACCACAGTGACTTTATTTTAAATAAAAGCTTTAGAAAAAGTTAAATCTGGTCAGGGTGCAGGGCTCACAAGTGTAATCCCAGCACTCTGGAAGGCCAAAGCGGGAGGATCACTTGAGATCAGGAGTTCAAGACCAGACTGGGAAAATAGCAAGACCCTCATGTCTACAAAAAATATAAAAATTAGCTGGCATGGTGGCACATGCCTGTGGTCCCAGCTACCCAGGAGGCTGAGGCAGGAGGATCGCTTGAGCCCAGGAGTTTGAGGCCTCAGTGAGCCAGCCATGATCACACCACTGCACTCAAGCCTAGAATACAGAGTGAGACCCTGTCTCTCTCTCTCTCTCTCTCTCTCACACACACACACACACACACACACACACACAAGTTAAGTTTGTTGGATTATATATTTAGGACTTGAGCATCCTTGGCTATAAAATATTTATGGTTGCAGGAACAAGTTAATAACTAAATAAAGACCCAAAACTTATAAAAATATACCAGTACTTTAAGCAAAAAGCATTCTTAATTTAAAAATAAGTTTTACTTTAAAGATAATAGTACACTCATAAGTTATTGTTAAAATCAATAGTAACATAGAAAAGTAACAATACGGGCCGGGCCCGGTGGCTCAAGCCTGTAATCCCAGCACTTTGGGAGGCCGAAGCGGGTGGATCACGAGGTCAAGAGATCGAGACCATCCTGGTCAACATGGTGAAACCCCGTCTCTACTAAAAAACTACAAAAAATTAGCTGGGCATGGTGGCGCATGCCTGTAATCCCAGCTACTCAGGAGGCTGAGGCAGGAGAATTGCCTGAACCCAGGAGGCGGAGGTTGCGGTGAGCCGAGATCACGCCATTGCACTCCAGCCTGGGTATCAAGAGCGAAACTCCGTCTCAAAAAAAAAAAAAAAAGAAAAGAAAAGTAACAATACTAATAGCCTGATACAAACTGATCACAATCCTTTGTAAAAGACAACACTGTTCTTAATAACCTATATAAACAAACATTAAGTAATCCTGTTTGTACGTTAATGTGCTGGGATTACAGGTGTGAGTACTTAATGTTTACTTATATAGGTTATTAAGTTTACTTATATAAGTTATTAATGTAAACATTAAGTACTCACACCTGTAATCCCAATACTTTGGGAGGCCGAGGAGGGCGGATCACTTGAGGCCAGGAGTTGGACAGCAGCACGGCCAACATGGCGAAACCCAGTCTCTACTAAAAATACAAAAATATAGCTTTGCACAATGGCAGTATTGAAGCCAATGAGGTTTATCCAAGGCGCAATTATTGCTAATTGAAAACTTTTCCCATTACCCCGCCATGACGACTGGAAATGTAGTCTGCATTGGCAATTTTTAGCAGTCTCTACAGGGATGGAATAAAAAAAATTAAATAAATAAAAATATAAAATAAACTAAAATGGAAAAGAAATACAAAAAAATTGGCTGGGCATGGTGGTGCACACCTGTGATCCCAGCTACTTGGGAGGTTGACACAGGAGAATCCTTAAACCCAGGAAGCAGAGGTGGTAGGGACCTGAGATCATGTCACTGTGACTAGAGTAAAACTCAGTCTCAAAAAAAAATTTTTTTTTAAAGCATGTGCGTTCCTCCTCTTGCTTTCTGAGGACTCCCTGCTCTGTAACTTAGTAGTGGCTAATAAACTCTCCCAACGTCACTAGGCTCTGCGGCTCACCATAAATTCTATTTCGTGTGAGATCCAAAATCCCATTGTTGGGGTCTGGGACAAGACCCCTTTGCTGGCAGCAAAACGATACTATTCTGTTCTGTTCTTTTCTTTGAGACAGAGTCTTGCTCTGTCACCCAGGCTGGAGTGAAATGTGTGATCTCAGCTCACTGCATCCTCTGCCTCCCAGTTTCAAGGAATTCACCTGCCTCAGCCTCTAGAGTAGCTGGGATTACAGGCGCCTGCCACCACGCCTGGCTAATTTTTGAATTTCTAGTAGAGACAGGGTTTTTCAATGTTGGCCAAGCCAGTCTCGAACTCCTGACCTCAGGTGATCCACACGCCTCAGCCTCCTAAAGTGCTGGGCTTACGGGCGGGGGCTACCTTGCCTGGCCAGCTTGTATCCTTGATGATCGCTTGGATATGGAGGGTGGAAAAGGACGAGTGTCAGGCAGATATCACTCTTGGGTTATTACCTGGGATATTGGGGCAAGGCTCTATTATTGGTTCAAACCCTGAGAGCACCAGCAACCCGAGGCAGTGTGGAGCAACATGCTGTTTTAAGGAATACCTGGGTGCAGACCAGATGAGGCCTAAAATGGCATCAGCCCCAAGTGAGGGCAAGGCAGGGGTTTTCTAGTCTCCTGTAAATGGGAAGCATTCCAGTCTGACTGGAACTGCTACGTGGTACCTAGACAGCCTCTCTCTTGATCTTCAGGGAGTACTCGTCTTCCAGCCTGCCCTCTTCTGGTTTCTGCTCTCTTGCTGACCCACGCTGCTGGTGCAAGTGGTCTTGTACCTTGCAGGCCTGAGGAGGGAGGAGTTATCCCCCCAAGTTTTCAGGCCCTGGGGAGAATCTTTCATTAGGGAGAGTAGGCTGGCTGAGTTTTCTCTGTTAGGCACAACTTGGTTTTGTGGGTGCAGTGGGGTGCCTCAAGCTGAAAGCTTGACTCATTGTACAGGCCAGACCCCACATGGCCATTCCTGTGGCTGCCAGGCCACTTTGAGGCTGAGCGAGACAGTTTTGTCTGGCCTCTGTCCTGCAAATATTTACGGATGCCTTCTCTGTGTTGGCAGATCTGGGGGTCCACCAGATAGGATCCCATAAAGAGATCTCAAAGGTCTTTAGTCCAATGTGTTTATCACATCATTTCCACAATCAAAGATGAATAAAATATAGAGGTGTATTTAGTGATAAGGTTGATGGTGCGCCTGTGCTAGGCAGTGTTTTAGTTCCTTGAGACACCAAGGAGTTGCGACAATCCTTTGCCTTAGAGTTTTGCATCTATAAGTCCTGCTATCGAGAGCTGTGTGCGTTACAAGGTCTGATTTGGTCAGGCGGGATCAGGGCTGTCTGTAAGCTTAGGTGAGGGGAGGCTGGTGTCCAGCAAGTATCCAGTACCCCATCAACACCCCAGCTCTTCTCCACCAATCTTCCAATTCTAGGACTGATGCGGAGGCCCTCAGAGCGACTTAAGAGGGGAAGTAGCCAGCGTGCTCTGTGGCTAGCTTGTTTGGGAGTGTACATTGTAAATCCTCTGCCGACAAAACGTTGGAAACAAGTAGTGTTTCGGCTTGAGTTTCTCTTAAATGGCTTGCAGTCGTTTAAACCAGAGCATGCATACCACAGGGCAACATGAGGGTCCCTCTACCACCCTTTCTCCCAGTGGCCTAGGTGGGCATCTACACAGAATAATGTGTGCAGCCTCATTGTGTGAAAGTCCAGTGCTTAGTGCTTGGAGTGTCGTCAGGGAAGGGCCCCTGACTTGGAAGGTTGCCGAGCTGCCACGGAGGGAAGGAGGGGAAGTGCAGTGCTGCTGGGTCTGCGTCTCGCTCTGTGACAGGAGGCACGAGATAGCCTTGGTCTTATGAAGACCTTGGGTGTCCCAGCTCACTTCAGCCCTGAGCAGCCTGATGCAGGCGCTGGGCCCTGGTTCTGGAGGTGAGACTAGGGCCTGGGCTTCCACTGCGTGGCTGGCACAGTGGGCATTCAGGTGCCTATTTGGGGACTGCTACGGAGTCCTGGGCCAGATGCAGTGGTGCACAGCTGGGAGCCAAGGGTCCCTGCTTCTGCTAGAGAATCTGGGCAGATGTAAAGGGTTAAGGTTGGGGTAGGGGTAGGGGTAGGGGTTAAGGTTGGAGTTGGTGTTGAGGTTTGGGGTCGGGGTCAAGGGTCAGGGCTAAAGAGTAGGATTAGGGATTGGTAGAGGGGTAGGGATAGGGTTAGGGGGTTAGGGTTTAGGGTTAGAGGTTAAGGTGGGGGTAGCAGTGGGGGTGAGGGTGAGGGTAATAAGCAGATTATTAAAAGCAATTCTGTTTCACTTCAATAACAACTTTCTCCAACTCATTTTGTCTCAACAAACTTATTTTTCCAGCAGAAGAATCCCGGGCTCCTTAAAGCGCCCAGTGACTTTTCACACCTTAAATCTGTGAAATCCTCATGTTTTCTTCTGCCATATGCATAGTTCAAACATACAAGATGAGGCAAAGCCAGACGCATTCCTGAAGGGACCCAAGAAATTCCTCTCTTTCTCTGTCTGGAGCAAAATGAATTCTCTAGCATTAGTACTAACCTTCAAAACCAAACCGGTTTGTGAGATCTCCTTTAAATACTACTGTAGGCCGGGCGCGGTGGCTCAAGCCTGTAATCCCAGCACTTTGGGAGGCCAAGGTGGGTGGATCACGAGGTCAAGAGATCGAGACCATCCTGGTCAGCATGGTGAAACCCCGTCTCTACTAAAAATACAAAAAAAATTCAGCTGGGCATGGTGGCGTGTGCCTGTAATCCCAGCTACTCAGGAGGCTGAGGCAGGAGAATTGCCTGAACCCAGGAGGCGGAGGTTGCGGTGAGCCGAGATCGTGCCATTGCACTCCAGCCTGGGCAACAAGAGCGAAACTCCGTCTCAAAAAAAAAAAAAAATACTACTGTCAATCCAAGTGTTTATATTTATATGATATTATTTTAGTATTTATATTAATATAAGGGAGAAATGTTTAAATCTGTCTATACCACATGTGCCTCTGGTTTATTGCCCAATTAATTGTCACCTCAGGCTTAACTTTGGTTTCTGTCTCTAATTGTTGTCAGAATAAATATAACTGATCTCAAAAGATCTGCTTTTATGATAGGGACTCGTGCTGCCATCTCCATTCCTCTCTCTTTTCTTGTAATCTGCGTGGAAGTTCTTTGTGGACATTGTGACCACCCTCATGCTCCCATGTCCACTGTCAGCACATTTAGACCTACTCAGCCAAGGCTGTCGTCTTAGGCCAGGGATTTTTTAGGGATCTTTATTTTGCTGTGACACACTTGGCACCTCTTTGACTCACTTTATCACCCCAAGGCTCTTTTCATTTTAGAAGCCCAAGAGGGCAGAAAAAGAAGTAGGTGAACAATTAAACCCTCTGGGTTGGGAGAGAGTCCCGTTGTGTTAAGCAATGTTGCAGAACATCGTATGCAGTACTCTAGCAGATGAGCCACGTGGCTGCAGAGCACACATGCCCGCTTGCTGCTGTGAGCTCAGACTCCCTCATCATTAGTCTTTTCTATCTCTGGACGGAATTATAAGGGCCACTTATTAACCTATAAGTCATAGGGAGTTAAAGGTGTTTTCCCAAAACACTGAGGACAGAATGAAAGGTGAGGAGTGTTAGCCACAGCTCAGAAGTGCAGAAAAGTGTCTCGATGTGAGTTGTTGGAGAAATGCAGGTCTTTTTTCTTTTGGAAGTCTCCCTAGAATGGGGTGAAGGACTCTGCCCTTTCTAGGATAAATAATTGGGATATTAGACACCCTCGGAGATTTATCACAAGCCTTCATTGAGGGTTCTTAATGAGTTTGTTCAGCCACCACAGTCTCAAATGCTAAGTAGGACATTGGAATCTCTCCACAGTCCAAATTAGCACTGTCTTTTCAAGTTAAGTCTCTCATTATTCTCATTTGACATACCTTATGTATCCCACACTCACCCTAATAACACATCGTGCTCACTGTTAACCTTTACAACAAGACTTGAATTTTACTTCTCCTGGAGGAGTGCACTTCACATGTCCAGACCCCGTTCTGACTCATTCTTCAGCCCTGCATCAGTCAGTGGGGCTAGTGTGACAGTGACAAACAGCCTCCAAGTTTCAGTGGCTCAAAAATCTTCTTCCTCATTTATTTGCATCTCATCATGGGTCAGGTGAGAGGTCGCTCTGTGCTGTGTCGTCCTAACACAGGAATCGAGGCGGAAGGAGGTACCATCAATAAGATCCCCATTGCTCTAGAAAAGACAAAAAGCATGCTGGATAGAACTCTGTTTCTTGGAGATTTCTCCTGAAGAAGTCACATATTATTTCTTCTCACCTGCAATGGCAAAAAAAAAAAAGAAGAAGAAGAAGAAATCATGTGGCCATACAAAAATTTAAGTAGGTGGGATGGAACAGTCAGAATGCATTCATAAAAAATGAACTGAAAATATTTGGAGAACAGTGCCAATGACTATCGTGAATGCCAGCATGCATTCCTAACAACCCAGTGCTATCACCCTTCAAACTTCTTATGTCTTGCAAAGTATTAGAACTTCCTATCTAAAGCATGCCACTCAGAGGGACTGCAAATACATAATGGCGTCTCCTTTAGGATGTCCTTGGAGAATTCAAGGAAATGGAGTTAAATAATCCAAAAGTGCTTTTGGGTACAGCTGTT